GTGGCGGAGGAAGGTCAGGGGTTGAATTCCTTTGACCGGAGGCATCAATAGGAGCCCGAAAACAGGAATCAACATTTTCAACCAAACCTATTTCCGTAAAGAGTCTCTAAACTTCCCCTGCTAGTGATGTTCAAATCTCTCCCCACTAAGCATCTGGTTGAGCTAATGAATATCCTTTTCTTCTCCGAAGAGGAGCCACTTCATCATCGATTCCTCTATCATCAAGATCCGCAGGCCGATCCGGTTGGTATTTTTTTCAAATTGTTCTCCCGAGTCCCAGCCGAGGAGGTACGTTTCATGTTTGGTTTTTTGTTTTTGGGATGGGGACTCCGGGATGAGGCACCTTCATCAGAAGTGAGAGTAGATTCACGAACTCTCCTCCGGTTAAGGGCATTTTGCAGTACCCGTTCAACTTTCACCGGGTTATCGAGAGCCTCTATGTCGAGGCAAACAATGGATCCATTCGGGGCTAAGTTTTAGCACGCCCCCACGAAAAATATTTGGGGAGTAGAGATTCATCATGTAAGCAAGAGTTAGGGTTTTTCAGGTCTCAGGCCATCATTGGCGGGGGCAAGCCATCGTACGCCATACTGATGGGCCTACTTGTGCCAAACAGATTTGATACCGGTGGCAAAATTTTAAAATTATTGGATCGGTTTCTTTACCCACTCCCAAAGTAAAATGGTATGTATAAACATACATGAACCCTGGGTTTGGAGAAGGTGACCCTTTCTATTTCACTAGGGGCAAATATTTTAATATTGTTCCATTCTCAGTCTTCCTTCACAATAGGGATGCTGGAAAGACGAATGGAAGAAGGGTACCTACGAACGAGTCAGTGTCTGTCACTTTTGGGATTAATGGATTCTTTTTGTTCTTGAAGGTCAGATTTGGTATTTAAGTTGAAAGGGTATGGTGGAGTTCACGATAGGACGTTCAGACTTGACATCAACCTCATTTGTTTTGTTCTTCTTTGGGCCTATACCGAAGAGAAGGCCGGAGTTTTCGAGGACAGATGTGATAGAAGACATAGTGGCAAGAAATTTGTAAAAAAAGATTTTACTGAGAGAATTAAATTTTGCAAGTAGGGTTCTAAGGTAAATCTGATAAGAAGAAGGAGTTGTAAAAGTAGAGATTAAAAATGATGAGTAATGGAGAAGTTTATAGACGACAGAAATCGTGGTCATGATTACCTCGAAAATTGGCGAAAATATTTGTCAAATTGTGGGGTAACACGTGTTCGGGTCATTAAACATGAAGAGACGTGCGTCCTTTCAACTCTTCAGAAACTTGCTTGCTAAGGAAAGAGGTTTTCTCTACTTTCCGGTAACACTAAAGTATTATCACTGAAAGGTATGGAGACTATTTGTATGCGGTAAAATTGGTTAGTGACAATTGTATGAATGAGGAGGTGAGACGTGGAGCTGAAGACAGGTAAGAATGTAGGATGTAAGTCAGCAAGTAGTTGATACCGGTTGCAAGCATGTGACCGGTGTTGGGTGAATACCGAAGACAGGGTAACCGACAACAAAGATTTGAAGAATTGATATCGGATAACATTCAATGAACAACCGTTACAGAGAATATCTATATTTATAGCCAACTGTTGTGCAACCATCAATGTGAGTTTTATTCTCATTTAAAATGAGCTTGATTTGGGGATCTTATCTCCTTAAATATAGATATAAATATGAGAATTAGTATTCATTGTAGAAAAAAAATATTTTGTACACAAAAGCTTGAATCGGCTCTCATTCTATGATATTATTCTTTTACCTTGTTCTTAATATTATTCTTACTTTTGCTACCAGAGAAGTAAAAATTCGTAGTCATGCTTGTATTTCCTTTAAGTTCATTTTATAATCCTATTTACGTTCTTATTTATTTTATATTTTTAGGTCAAATTAATTCACGTGTCTATAAAATCATATTACAAATTCAACTGTACCGCTTTACGAGTAAATAGTTGGTTCAATTTAGATATTTTATCGTATGATAAAATTAACTAAAGTGATGAATGAGGGAAAAAGGGATTACTTGAAACTTGGAAATTTGAGTAGGGGCTGAGATCCTTTTTGGAGGTAAAATTGGGTTGTAGATATGGTTGATGCTATCACAGCTTCTCTCCTTCCGCCGTTTTCTTCTAGTGGAGACCCTACTCCGACCCGTTTCGTCATGTGTCTATTTATTCGGGCCTCTGGGTTCAATGACAAGAATGGGCGTAGAGAGTAGAGACCTATACTATACGTTTTCGAGTTAATAGTACCTCCTCTGGTCCAAAATAAATTGAGAAAAAAACACAAATAGGAAATGTTTAAGAAAAAGTTTCAAAAACCTAGCAGCATAAGGTATTTTACATGACATGACAACTAAATAAATATGTTTCTTAGCCGAAATCTACACATATGGATCAATAAACACGTTTGATAAAAAATTCAAAAAATTCAATTCCTAAAAAACGCAAAGCGATTCAATTTCTTAGGAATAAGAAGTACTCCTAAAAATAAGAACATGTGAAAAGAAGCATATTAGGAGGATAATTTCAATAAAAAAATAATTACTTATCTTCTGTCACAAAAAGAAGTTAATTCAATAAAACGGTTATTTAATATTATTTATATTATATTGTATTAAATTTCAAATTTGTTTTATCTTATATTTATACATAAGGAATAATAATGGTATATATAAGCATAAAAATATTGAATTTTGTCACCGTTTGTACATAAAATAGATATTGAATAATAAATAATATATTCCTCACATATACAAAGCATATATTTTATATGACAAATATACATAAAATATATACAAATTTTATTAAATATACGTAAATTATACAATAGATACATAATACATACACCAAATATATAAAAAATTATGCGTCAAAGATATACTATATACATAAAAGATATGCATGTATTATGCATTTCTGTTTGAGAGAATAATGCAAAATGTGATTTTAAGAGTAGCTATTAATGAGAAGGAATTTTTCATAGAAAAATGTAAGTTTAGAAAATTCTAATTAATGATGAGAGAGAATTATGAATTGATTAATATGGCTCAAAAACAATCCCTTAAATTGTGGGTTTGTGTCGGTTTATGTTTAAGAAATTGAAGGCCAATAAATAAGGTAAAGAATCTGAAAAATACTATAACTATAAATGAATATGAGATTTTTGGAATAAAGCAAAAGCACTATTACTCGTATAAATGGTTATTAATAAGAGTTCTAACGTGTAAAAATCTCAAATAAAGTTTTGGTGTAGAACGTAGACACCAAATTTTACTTATTTTTTTTCAAATTGTCTTATTCATATTTTATTCAATTTATCTTACCTTGTTTTATTCTCTTCCATACAAGACGATTGAATTTTTCTCTACGAGCTTATGATATATTCCTTTCCTTAGGATTACTGAGTAAAATTTGCAAAAAGAATGAAAAAATTATTTTGGAAAAATATTTGCATTATTTTGAGTTTAGTTTGAATAAGTACCTTTAATATCATCCGGACTAAGTACCCAAAAAATTAAGTATCATTTGGACTTCCAAGAATATGCTAGATTTTTTTAATTTGACCCTCCGATTTATTTTTCATGTTCCATTCCAAAACCTTGCAAAATAAAGAGAATTGGAATGAATGATGCGCACGTGGAATTTTTCAGCACGAATCTAGATTAGTCAGACCTCAAAAATACTATAGCAATCATAAACTTGACAAACTGAATTAGATTTATATAACTGACAACTAAACTCGCGAACGGACAACACCAACATATTAGTTAAAGCCGTGAAGATTGCCTAACAATGAAATGAGACACATAATATAATAAGAACGGCTATTTTCACTTTACTCCTTACTTTATCTTATATTTATATTTAACATTGTACTGCATTAAAAGGAATCCCTATTCCCAATGCGCGCACACACACAATTTTTTTATTTTTTAAATTTCTGCTGCACACACAATCTGATATGTAGATACAACACATTTAACATTCAATTTTTTTGTCCCTCCTCACAACAGGTTTATCGGGTCATCGTATTTATGATTGATGAAGAAGACGATGTGTACCCAATTCCTTGCTTATGGAAAAGAAAAGAAGCTAAATCCCTACTCGACTTCTCAAAACAAAGATTTGTATTACACTATATGATAAAGTGATAACCAAACGTTATTAGATTTCACCACATTTATATTTTCATGTGTTAGACTTAAACTTCTGCTCTTCGCTTAATCGCTCTTTGGTATTCGGAAGCGGAAAGAGAATTGTTGATCATGCCCGAAAAGAGAGGTTCAGTTTTTCTTCATTCAAATAAGAAAAAGATGGAACCTTCACAGACCTATATGGAATCAGAACTCTCGTCCGCCTCTCTCTTTACCTTATGTAGCTGAACTTTCTTATTTTTTCCATTAATTTTTTTCTGATCAAGAGGTATAGATCATGTTAATAGATTAACGAAAATGTGCAAAAGAATGAGTACCTTAGGATGAAGAAGAATGCAACCAACGAAAATTACCTTATTAAAAGAGAGAAATTGAGCGAGAGAGGGAGCTACGAAAGAAGAGAATAGTTTAAAGTACATGTGTTCATATGAGAAGGGCAAAGGAAATCAATATCGAAGGAAAGAGGTTCAAATATTTAAGGTACAATTAAGACAACTTTTTGTATAACATATTATTGTAGAATTCGTGCCAAAATTATATATGTAGTAGTAAAATGGGATGGCTTGGGATGTGCTTAATAGTCACATTGTTAGCAAAATGGAAAAAGAAATAGTTTTAGAAAATTGAGAAAAAAAAAGTAGAACGTACAATATATCCCCCGCGTGTTATGGTAAGTTTTGATACTTCATGATAGATGTGGGATTTGAACCCACTCCCTTTCGGAGCAGAGCCTAAATCTGGCGCCTTAGACCACTCGGCCAAACTATCCTCGTGATGCAGTAAACTTCGGCTCCAACTACTTATTGACCAGGAAAAACTCGAACGGTACTAAATTACTCCTCTCCCCAAATATATATCTCTCTCTCTCTCTCTCTTCTGCTCTTTCTCTGTGTTTTCACTTATTTTACAACGGGAGGGCTAAAAGGCAAAATCCGACAGTACGTTGCAGCAAAGGTTTCCACTGGAAGTCACAATTTCTCTACCCCGAACCCGCACTCAGGCATTTCCTCTGTTTCCCATTTTCAGTATTCCAGTAAGTTCCGCCGCCGGCCATGACTCCGGTTTCATCAAAGCTTTACACAGGTCTCTCCCTCCCTCTCTCTGTAGCTGAAGTTATGCAATACAATATTATGCTAATTAACTAAAAGAAAACTACACATAAATTAATTGTCTTAAATCAATCTTCTTTTTGAATAATTTCAGATGATGTAAGCCTATTGATGGTTCTGATCGATACTAATCCGTACTTTTGGAGCTCCATGAAGAATACTGCCTTCACATTCTCTAAATTCCTATCTCATGTAAACCCCCAAAAACCCAAAAATATGTTTTTATTTTAAAAATAAATAGTCCTTGTAGTTTCTATTCATTGAAGTTTGATGCTGGAATTTTTGGGAAAAAATGCAGGTTCTTGCTTTCTTGAATTCAATACTTCTGCTGAATCAGATGAACCAAGTGGTTGTGATTGCAACTGGTTACCATTCATGTGACTATGTGTTTGATTCGTCTAGTTCAATGCAAAGGGCTGAATGCTTGTTGGAGAAACTAGAAGAGTTTGTGGATAAAGATGAATCCTTGAGTCAAGAAGACTCTGTTGATGGAGTTGGATTTTCACTTCTTTCTGGTTCCCTTTCCATGGCTCTCTGCTGTATCCTCAATCACTTCATGTTGGTTTGGCTTTTTTTATCCTCATTGAATTGCAAGTTTAGTGCTTTTTTATCTTTTATGGCGCATAGCTGTGAATTCATGTTTGTTTAGAGGAAGTGTGCTTCTCTTAACCTGCGTGAATGGTTAGATATTCAACGGGTATTTCGTACAGGGCCTCTTCATCCACAGCCTCGGGTAAGTTCCTCAATTCAGAAGAAACTGAAATGGGTTCTTGGGTATTTAAATTGGTAGAATTTGATATGAAAATTTCTACTAGTATTCTGTGGATTTTGTTGTCCATTTCCACTTGTAGATTTTACTATTCCTATAGTTATGTTGCGTGGACTCTCCAAAATATTGCCGCACCCGTGTCGAATTCTCCAAAACTACATTGCTTTTGGAGAATCTGACACGCACCCTGCGACATTTTCGGAGAGTCTAAGCAACATAGATATTAATTGCCTTTTCCTCTGTCCCATTTCATGGGCAATTTTATTTACGTAATTTTACCAGATATTGCTACAAAATTGATACTGCCTGTACTACTAGTTTAATTTAACCTTTTAGTGTCTTTTAGAAGTAAGGTTATTGTTGGGAAAATACGCGTCTTTTCTTGTATTGTGCTTCAAAATTTAATTCCTTTTCTGTTATGTTGGATATCAAAGTTGCTAAAAGATTGTGCTTGAAATGATGGCAGATATTGTGTCTGCATGGATCGCCAGATGGGCCCGGACAGTATGTTTGATCTGAGCAGCCTACAATCTTTTCATCATCAGGTTCTCCGCTGAAACTTTTTTTTTTGGGCAGATATGTTGCAGTCATGAATGCAATTTTCTCAGCTCAACGTTCAATGGTATGTAGAGGTTTAGTAATTCTTTTCTTCAATATTGTAGCCGTTTCATTTCCTTCTAGATTAATTCGAAAATCACAACACTATCTTCATAAAGGTAATCTCTATAACCTAGGGAATGGGACTCAGATTGTTATATTGTGGTTCTACTCTAAGAAATGCATTTTATTGCAGGTACCGATTGATTCGTGTGTAATAGGATCCCAGCATTCTGCTTTTCTTCAGCAGGTATCATTTCTCTACCTGCAATTTTTGGTCCTAAATCTATTCTTTCCCAGTATTGGTTCCTTTTTGGCTCACTGATGTAGTGGTGCATATCTGTGGACAGGCCTCTTACATCACTGGTGGTGTATATTTGAAACCCCAAGTATCAGATGGACTGTTTCAATATCTCTCGGTAAGTGTTGTTGAATTTGTTAAAACTCAGTTATCTCTAGCTTATCCAGTTTAACTCTCCAGTGGCTTCCTTTAAGCATGAATCCGATCTGATTTGGAAGCATGTTGAACTGATTTGATTTGTTTATTATATGTACTGCTTTTACCAAGGAGCTTATGCTATAAAGACCTGCCAAGAGTTTTTTCCATTGCATATCTGTTTTCTATCTTTTCATATGTNATACGGGTGCGAATCTAGAGGTCGGATCCTATCCTTCATGATCTGAATTTCAAGATGCGGGGGTACGGATCCATGTACGTTTACGGGTGCTAGGATTCAGCGAAAAATAATTCAAATACCTAAAAGTAGAGTTATATAAATATGCCTAAATTATGAGAGTTATCAATACTATAAGAAATAACTTCTGCACAGTTATCTTTCATATACAATTAAGTATTGATTTTTTAAGTTTTAGATTGGAAATCTAATTCTTATAGAAATAGAGCTCTTGAAGATTTAGCAAACATGTCAAATTTTCACTACATTAATTTGCTTATAGTGGAGAACAAATGGTACAATATTTTTAACAGATAAACTCCAATATAAAGTCTCATTTAAGGACTCTATTACTCCTGCACTTTCCCCAATTCCTGTTGTCAAATGTTCGTCTTCCCCAAGTCCCTCTTTGAAGCTCTCTGCTTCTCTCCTTCAAAAAAGATAAAAAGAAGAAACAAGAACTGCAAGATCCATCCAAGGTCTTCCCCAACAGCGGCATACCCGCTTCAAATTTATCCTAGCTTTTATTTTAATTTCAGAAATCAATATGTAATCTTGTCTCGAATTTCTCTGTAACTTTTGGTTAAAGTACCCAAAATTGATTGACCATATCCGGTACGGATCCCATACCCGCATCATATCGACTCGGGTACGGCAAGGGTTTTGAAGAGTCCGCGCAACATATGCGCTACCAGTTCAATCACTTTTTCATAGTGCTCTATAGTGAAATGTATGTTGCTCGGACCTTTCAACATCCCTACCGCACCTGTGTAGATCCAACACGATTTGGGTGCCGGTATGGGATCCACACCGTATTTGGTCAACTTACCTTGGGTTCTTCGACTACATCTATGACCAAGAAGTATATATTGATTGGTATTTGGTTTGATTTTGGGTTTATGTCATATATATGGTTTGATTTTGGGTTTATGTTTTTATATATATATATATATATAGTTATATGAAGTATGAGAATGCTTTGCTATTACACGAGATATCTTATGAATAAAATATTACTAGGTATTTATGAAGAATTAAAATTTAACCCGAAGAAGGGAGCTAGTTAAATCAATGATTTCAGGCCTATGAGCCTGCTAGGCAGCATATACAAGTCTCAAAGGTGCTCACCGAAAGGATGAAGCTGGTCATTGAAAAAAATGTGATTGGTAATGAAAATGCCTTCATCGAGTGGAAGCAGATAGTGGATGCAGTGCTGGTCGCAAGTGAATGCATTGACCGTTATCAGAAAGAAAAGAAGAGGGGTGATTTGCAAGCTGTATACGGGAAAAGCCTTCAACAGTGTAAAGTGGGATTTTCTACCGCGGTTTGAAGCTAAATGGATAAACTGGATTAGATTCTGTATCACCGCTGTTAGAATATCTATCATTATCAATGGCGCACCTGAAGGTTTTTTCCCCCCACAAAAAGGATTGAGGCAAGTGATCCACTTTCTCCACTTCTTTTTATACTTGCCATGAAAGCATTAAGCTTAATTCTAAGAGCCCGTTTGGATTGGCTTATTTTAAGTGCTTTTAAGCCATTTTTTAGCGTTTGGATAAAATAAAAAAGGTGCTTTTAAGCACTTGTTTTTAAGCTAAAATGACAAAAACAAGCCAAAAGCCAAAAACTAGAATTCCTAACTTATGGCGTATGCTTAAAAGTCACTTAAAATTAGCCCATCCAAACGGGCTCTAAAAAAGGCCATAGAGCTGAAATGGATGGAAGGTTTCATTATTGAAGACAGAAATAGATGCAAAGTGGAGGTGTCACATATCCTCTATTCCGATGATACGTTGCTGCTATGTAAGGCAGATGAAAGGCAACTCCTGTACCTAAAGACAATTCTCCTGGCCTTCGAGGCCATATCTGGACTACATGTGAACTGGGGAAAGAGCATCATTTTCTCTGTTAATGCTGATCATGCCATTCTGAAACTTGCAGCCATCTTACGTTGCAAAGTTGAAAACTTTCCTACTATTTATCTTGGTATGCCATTGGGTGCTAGATTCAAAGATGCCAATGTTTGGCAAGGTGTGATAGAGCAGTGCGAATGGAAGCTTGCTCCTTGGAAGAAACAGCATATTTCTTTTGGTGGCAGGTTAACTTTAATTAACAGCGAGCTTGATGGGACCCCAACTCATGTTATGTCCTTATTTCGCATGCCCACAAGTGTGGTGAAACAATTAGACAGAATGAGGAGTATCTTTCTGTGGGATGGAAATCAGGAATAAAAGAAAATCCCTTTGTTGAAATGGGAAACTATTACTGAGAGAAAATTTGGAGACTTGGGAGTCAAGAACCTAAAGCTACGAAACAGAAGTTTGCTATTTAAATGGCACTGGAGGTTTAATGACAGCAGTAATGGCTTACAGAAAAATGTTAGAACTGCTAAGTATGGCAAAAAGGAGGAGTGGTGAACTAACAATGTAAAAGGTGCTGGTGGAGTGTGTCTGGAAACATACCAGAAGCCTTCGGGATGACTTTTATGACTGCGTCAAATTAAAAGTTGGTAATGGCATGAAAGTGAAGATGTGGATAGACAAATGGATAAACGATACCCCTTTTAATGGAGATATTCCCAGATCTTTATTCAATCAGCACAAAAAGAACTGTACTGTGGCAGATTGCTACGCCAATGGGGGATGGAACTTACTTTTGAGGAGGAACCTATACGATTGGGAAATCGAACATGCTAATGCATTAATCCAGAAGCTGGAACTGGTCTCCTTAAATGATCCGTCAGAGGACACTCTATGGTGGAAGTATCAGAAGGATGGTAAATTCACAGTGATACAAAAATTTCTTAAAGAATATAAGAGGAACCAATGAATGTTGGCCATGTAGATCCATCTGGAAAACCATATCCCCCCCCCCCCCCNTTTAGATCCATATTGCCCCCCCAAGGATATGCATGTTTGTTTGGATTGCTGCTCATGAAGCCTGCCTAACCCACGATTATTTACAGAAGAGGGGAAACAGTTTGTGCAGTAGATGCTATATATTCGAAGGAGCTAGTGAATCAGTGAATCACCCACTGCTTCATTGCTCAATTACCAGACAGATATAGGAAATATTCTTTGCCAGATATAGGATGCATTAAGCTTGCTTTAAGTAGCTGGTATGGACAGATCTCTCGTGCTGACAGCACACATTACTGGAAGCTATTCCCATTTGCATTGTCGGAATGTTTGGCTAGAAGGAATAACAGAGGCTTTAACAATGGGAAGGAAAGCATATCACTTGTAAAATCTAGGTGCTTGAAATGCCTCTACTTGTGGAGTAGGAAGAATATTGTAACTCACATTGACTCACTGTTAGACATGTTACACTCCTTCAGTCTATAAAAGGAAGCTCTCTCCTTCGATTCTGATGTACTGTACCTTCTCGGTACTTTTTAATAAAATCTTTACCTTTCCTGACCAGAAATAAAAACAAAGAATTAAATTTTATTAGTTTTAGTACTAGTTCATTAACTTTAATTTATTGAAATATATACTTATATAAGTCTAATATACATTTATTGGTCGTATCCCAACACCCGTATTCGGCACTAGGATCCATACCCCTGAATCTAAAATTTTTGTGATGAAGAATCCGTCCTCTAGATTGATACCCGTATCAGCTACACGCACCCGAGTCTGAGCAGCATAGGTGAAATGTTCATGCTATGTCTTTTTAAGTGCGTAGGAATGAAGATGTAATTGTTGTATAATCTTATGTTCAAAATTTCGTTCACCTAGCATGAAATACAATGGTTCATTGCTATTTGCTACAACCACTTTCATGACTAGAGTACAGTTTCTGCACCAGAAATTCTTTTCATTTCACTGCTTACCCAAAAAAAATCTTTTTAAATTCACTGCACCAAAGTTTGGATATAGGTTTCCTGAATAAATGATACTTCAAGTTGGCATCATATTTCGCTCTGATCTGATGTGTCTTATTTATAGACTGTCTTGTCTTTGGAAATGTTTTCTAATTTTTCATTTGAAAATACTAACGGGCCTTTTCAAAATGCAGACGGTGTTTGCGACTGATTTGCATTCTCGTGCCTTTTTGCAACTTCCCAGGCCTGTGGGAGTTGACTTTCGTGCATCGTAAGTGCTTCAGCATGTCTTTTAGTTAAATTATTTCTCTCATGATGAGCTGATGTGCAAAGCAAGCACACACTTAGACTATGATGTACTATCTTTGTTTTTGCCTATCATTGTCCATTCTGGGCTGAATCTGTTTGGCAAATAGACCCTCAATTTGCATGACCTGTTGATAATCTATATATAGGTCGTACGCTTTGCGTTTATATGGCTTAGCTTTGCCATTGCCTGTAGTGGCCGATGATTTCATTTTAACACATTATTTATAATTGTCATGTGTGCTTTTCTTTTGACTTCTGTCTGATAGAACCTTACTCATCTGAAAGTAAGAAACATGAATCAGTTAACATTTAAACCAGTACATGCTAAGTAGTGGAAATCAGAATTTCAACTTTTGAGGTTTTAACCAGAACTTGAATGCATAACATTGAGAGTGTCACAAAACAGCATATACCTCTTTCTTTTGAAAGGTTTGTAAACCTTACTTAAAGTAGGGTCCAGAAACACTTACAATAATAACCTATGTTGCTCGGGTTCGGGTGCGGGTATCCGATCCGGGTGAGGATCTAGAGGTCGGATTCTTCATCTCATAAAATTTAGGATTTGGGGGTATGGATCTAAGTGCAGATATGTGTGTTGGGATAATGCCAATATATATATATTATAAAGCTAAGTTGCTCGGACTCTTCACTTTCAGTGCCGCACCCGTGTCGACACGATGTGGGTGTGGGTATGGGTGTGGGATCCGTATCGGATATGGTCAACTGATTTTGGGTACTTTGACCAAAATCAACGGAGAAATTTGGGACAGATACAATGATTTTTGAAAACAAATCAAAAGCTAGGGTGATATGGAAGAAAATGGAATACCTTGTATATAAAAATTTCTATGTCAGTCCTTTTCCTTTTATCTCCTTCTAAAATCCTTCTCGGAATACCTTGTAAGTTTTCCACATAATGTCTCATAATTTAGACTTATTTTTATAACCCTATTTTTAAATAATTGAATTGTTTTTAGCCGAATCCCAGCACCTGTATCCGTACCTGGATCCGTACCCCTTAATCTTTAAATTTAGATCATGAAGGATCTGACCTCTAGATCCGCACCCGTATCGGACACCCGCACCCGAGTCCGAGCAACTTAGTTATAAAGTTTAATTTCGATTGATTAAGGTTACTGAACTAAAATTGAAAATATTTAATATTTTATTCATAAGATATCTTGCGTAATAGCAAAGCATTCTCATACTTTATATAACTATATATATACAATATAAACACAAAAATCAAACCAAATATCCAATCAATCTATACTTCTCCATCATAGATGTAGTCAAAGTACCCAAGGTAAGTTGACCAAATCCGGTATGGATCCCACACCCACACTCATGTCGTGTCGACACGGGTGCGGCATAGATTTTGAAGAGTCCACGCAACATAGGTAATAATTAGAAGTGAGAAACTGATGAATGAGAATTTTCTATCTAAGCCACTTTAGATGGTGGTGACCAGTTTCTCTTTCAATCATGTTAGTTATGTTAGTGAATAAAAAAGAATCCGGTGGAATCCTATCACAACAAAAAGGAAAGGGATGTTTAATTCAGGAGACCTATCCTACTAATAGCAACTGCAAGTATTAACTGAAGTCCTGCTGTCTGACACCAAATAAATATGTACTCCAATTTCTAGTCCATTTTGACACAAATTCCTTGAGCTCATACCCCAATGTAGTATTGGGATTACTCTTCGCCCTTTTCACACTCAATTAACTATTGTTGCTCATCTCATGAAGTTTCTACTAACTTGCAGGTGCTTTTGCCACAAGAACACAATTGACATGGGCTACATATGCTCTGTTTGTTTATCCATATTCTGCAAGCATCATAAGAAATGCTCAACATGCGGGTGAGTTTCATTGTCTTTTAACTAAAGAGTCTCATTGACAAGCTCTTCATTTCTCATTATTATGCTGCATTGAAAATTGGTTTCGGTCCAGAAGGTCAACACGACCTTATGATCATGTCAAATGTTGCAGGCAGTCCTGGTCACCTTTTTGATCAGTTCATAAGGTTCTTGTTGCAACCTGCATCAATTGACCGCTATGGAGTGTGCTTTACAAAAAGCAAAAACTCAACTCCATTGCTTCAGTCAAGGAGGTCTAATAATCAGCTCTTGTAAATGCTATTAGGGAGACTTTTGCCATGATTTACGTGCCCTAGCTCCATTACATAAAGATTTCTGCACCAAAAAAGCGAAAAGAGAAAATACATCTTTGCTTTAATCTATGTACACTCTCATGTTTTCCTGCAAAGAATCGCTGGTTTTTCTCCCAGATTACCCATAAAATACAAGCAGGAACCTGGTGGTATTATTTACTGTTCCATATCAACTATGTCTCAATCCCGTATTAGTTGGAGTTAGCTATATGAATCCTTTTGTATCCTCGCTTATTGAAAGGCTCTTTGCAAGGACAAGGGAGTGCACATAATGATTGTTATCTTAGTGATTTGATTTTGACATTTTTGTTTGCGACATGATATGTGCTAGTTTTCCTAGGAAGGCCGAGTTCTGAACAGAAATTATACGGCAAATAGGTGCAGTTACAGTTCCTATTAGGAGCCACTTGTGACTGGTTGCATATTTCCTTAAAAAGTGCGAGAAAGATGAGTACATGTCGTTACTGTGTGCTGTCATGTTATTTAAAAGTTAAAACAAAGATTTCTTTGTGGTAGTCTGGAATAGAGAACTAGCTCTCACCAGCGGTGTCCCTTAAACATTCTTTAAATTGGGCTGGTAAACTTTCTTGCCATCTGGTGTCTCAATTATGTTAACTACTTTAATTTCTTAGAGAAGAATTGGGGATGCATGAACGTCAGTCACCTAGTTACTGCTAATAGATTACTTGTCATCTACATTTTAAGGATTCTCTTCCTGTTCTCCAAGAATATCTGAGACACAAATCAAAAGGCACAGATAACTGTTCTACCGCCGTTCTGCTGAATACTAAATCATATAATGGATGCTTGGGTTTGGATATTCTAACTTTTGAATCATGCCATCAAATGCAGATCAAATTTTGGAGAGGCACGAAAGCAGGATCCCTCAGCCTCGGATCAGAAGAGAAAGACCCCAGATGGTAGTTGAACAGATAATGCTAAAGTTATCCTTAACACCTCACAGGTTGCTGCACAACTGTGTTTCAAGAGCTTTCTTATGATAATAAGCTCTCAGACGTTGAGGGTAGGCCTTCACTGGGACTTTAATGAGTTTCAGCAGGAGGAAGTGGAAATTAAAGAAAGCAGTGGAGTTGGAAGGATGTTGACTTGTTCGGATCAATTTTCAAAAAAAGGAAGGCTAGGAGGACCAGAGGAAAAGCTCAAGACAAACTTCTCCTGACGAAATAGGAAGTTTTCTTGTTACTAAACAATTTCCTTTTCTAGATGAAGGAAAACAGCGGGATGATCCTAATCAACTGGTCTGGTTTTAATCTTTCTATATAAAATTGTTATTACCGAAATGGAAAGTTGGAAGTGGAGTTCCAAAACAAGTTAGGGTGTACAAATTGCAAATCATAGTTCCAAACATCTTTCGAAATTTAGGTCCATAGTTTCTGATCGTCCTGGGATTCGAATTATTTATAGTATCTCCGTCAATTTACCTTTCTTATGACAAATCTTTGCTGGTGCAGATGAGACCAATTTCCCCAGTATTTAATTTTTTATTCATATATTTTAGTGATTTGTTTTTACAAGAAATTTTGGAAGAAGAATACTTAATCCATCATAATTATAATAGTGCTTAATTTTAGACTTTAAAATATAACAGAAATTTTTTTAATGCAAAATTTTTCATTAAAATTTGCTAGTCGTTCATCTTGCATATACTTATTACCGAAAAGTAATTTGAAATTATGAATAAGACAAGTGTTAATAGTTCTAAACCTCAAGAAAGCTTTGTGTAAGATACGAAAGGACAAATATCTTTTTCTGTTTCTAGGCCGATTTTTCAAATTCAAAATTAGGTAACGTGAAAATAAACCAATTTGTGGAGCATGATTCTGTTTCTTGGCAAATTTTTGGAGTAAAATACTAAGCTAGCATTTGCACGTAGATTTGATTGAAACTTGAAAAAATAATTTTTGAAGTTGTATTGAAAAATAATTTTTGAAAGTTGAAGTTGTGTTTGGACATGCATTTTATTCGAAGAAAAGTTAGAAGTTTTGTGAGCAGAAAAAAATTTCACCAAAAAACTACCCTAAACTAGTTTTGGAAACTTGAAATTTTTTGGCCCAAGACAACATCATATTTCATAAACAAACAATATATTCACTTTTTTTTTTGAAAAAATAAGCCAAATCTATGGCAAAACGAGAAATAAAAGATTTGAGTATAAAGTTGGCTTGTGGTTAATTAGGCTGCGAGTCTTATATAAACCTTCTTCTGGAGATATGATACAGACCAGATGTAGTATATACTGTATCCAACAAAATTTGGATATTCGACATTATTATTCTTATATACTCAACAATGCATTTCGCTAACCACATCTGGGTACTTTATATTTCTGCAATAGGACTGCTGCTAAATCTATTAACTACTTCTGTACATCTTCTGATCCACCAGAAATTACACAATTTCTCAAAATTACGCAATGAATAAATAGTGGTAACTGATTTCAGGATCATGAGGAACTACGGTTGCAGAGGCTATAACCAGATATAAGAGAGCTGAAGGCAAAAGCAACGAACGCCAGGAAAGACAGCGCGATCGATGCACTTGCCATTTCCGTGAACTCATCTTTCCCCCAATTTGATATCCAGTTATCTACCCTCATCGCAGCAGAAGAGGATGCTGACATAAGAAGATATGCCAATATCTGCACAGATACATGCAGAAATAAAGACCATCTTCAGAGCATATAATACATAGAACAGCAACAATACCAATAAAGCTAGGCTTTGGTACGTAACAGTCACAATCATAGCAAATTAAATTGATCCAGAAGTTTTCAACTGGCTACATAGAAACTATACACTTGGGAAGTACTTAGTACACTGCAACAAGCGAGGATCCTTATGGTCCATCATCAGATGTACCAGGTAGTTTTTGATTCTAACTTCTTACATAAAAATATGTCATATTAGGACAGTGAACTGTTAGTCGGGATTATTAGTGTCCTGCCACTTATTGGGCAAAGAGTGCTTTGATAATCTCAAATTTCACATATATTTGAATTCTTGCCCTGAATTTGGCTATAAGTTATTTAGCTCCGAATTCTTGCTCAAAAGGGATAGTCCCAAAGATCTTTTGGAAGTTATGAATAGCTTTGTTTTATAATTGATGCTATTGGCTATAGGTTGTTGGGCTTGCCTCAGACAGACAGTGGTTCAAATTAGTAAACCTACCTCTGATTCTATCCTAACCAGTGCGAATCAAAAACTTTGAATGAGGTTGTCCAAAGCCTAGAGGAGGCACTGAAAAGATTTTCTTCAGCACTAAGAGCTGAATGAAGTAATCTAAAGTAATATTTTCTTTTGAAAAAAGATTATTATTGGTCATCTAAAACTTTTCGAGTTCGTTATTAATTAAGCAACAACAACAACAACAACCCAGTATAATCCCACTAGTAGGATCTGAAAAGAGTAGTGTGTACGCAGACCTTACCCCTACCATGGGGTATAGAGGCTGTTTCCGATAGACCCTCGGCTCCCTCCCTCCAAGAAACCCCCCACCTTGCTCTTGGGGTGACTCGAACTCACAACCTCTTGGTTGGAAGTGGAGGGTGCTAACCACTAGAGCAACGCACTTTTGTCATATTACATGCATGTCAAAAATCTAAATTCTAGTTGATATGGAATGGTAAATGAGCAATCTAGTGTTGGAGAATGGGGATTATAGTTAATAGTTTTTTTAGTTTTTACATTATTTAAATATTAAATATTTAATAGTTAATTAATTTTTGGCCCACGGGCCGGCCCAAGCCTACCCTCGGTCAAGCCTCAAGGGCTAGTGAGCTGACTTGGGTCGGGCTTATAAGCCTCAGTTTTAAATGGGCTCAAAAAATCCTAGTCCAACCCTACCCAAGTAGCGGGGTGGGTTGGGCTAGCCTCACGGGCCAAGCCTATTTTGACGGCTCTAGGTTCTATAGAGGTGTTTGGAGGCTAAAGGTGTGCCGGTAACTTACATTAGGGTGATTAAGGACATGTATGATGAAGCTAAGACCAGGGCAAGAACAGTCGGTGGGATTCAAAACACTTTCCCATTGTGATGGGGTTGCACCAAGGATCAGCCCTTAGTCCGTTTTTATTTTCGTTGGCTATGGATGCACTAACGCGACACATTCAAGGGGAGGTGCCATGATGTATGTTATTTACATATGACATAGTGCTGATTGAAGATACGTAAGACAGTGTTAACGAGAGGCTGGTGGTGTGGAGACAAACCCTAGAGTCTACATATTTCAAGTTGAGCAGGACGTGATTCAGTAAGCGAACACAGATGTAAATCTTGATACACAAGTCATCCCCAAGAGAAAGCTTCAAGTATTTTAGGTCAGTTATACAAAGAAATGGAGTGATTGATGAGGATGTCACACATTGTATCGGAGCGAGGTGGATAAAATTGATGCTCGCATCTGGTGTCTTATGCGATACAGGGGCAGCTCAACATAATATGGGGCCTAAGGCGAAAATAAAAAGTGAGGCCTTAAATTTTTTTAATTAATTTGTTTACTTTTATAATTTATCGAAATCTAAAGAAGTTATAATTAGTTTTAATTATTGCCAATGTCTAACCAATTTGTTTAATCTCTCGTGTTATCATGTTGAACTTTATTGATTTGGTTTAAAAAAAAATTTCAACCGAGGCAACTGATATAGAAATTGTTAACGATAATTGAGTTAAGACTTTTTACCTGATTGCGTTTACCAATTAGAGTATTCTTCTACTTATACAGTTTCTCTTAGCACTTTTAATTAAAAATATAAGTTGAAACAAATAATACTATAGTAACTACTATGTTTCAAGAGTCATTCAATGTTAAGGATGAATTTTAATAGGTACTTATCAAAGTAGTTTGAAAAAGTCTACAAAGGCACTCAAGAAATTAAGAAAAATTATTCTAAAACTAACATTGTAAGAAGATCAATTTAAGTGGGGACGAATTAAAGATATAAAATAACTAGTAACTACAATTTAAGATGTGTAAAACTTTAGCTATAACTACTTTATCAAATGATTTAAAATTCTATCAATAGTGCATAATTTAATATTATTTATAGATTTTGGGGCCCTAAGTATTTTGTGTCACGACCCGAAATTTCCACCTGCGGGACCATGATGGCGCATAACATTTCACTTGCTAGGCAAGCCAACGTTAGAATAAGATTAGCCATTTTAAGCAATTTTAATTAATAACAAAGAAACAAATGCGGAACTAAAATCTGAAATAAAATGTATAATCCATAATAATAACGATGTCTAAATACCATCCTAGAACTGGTGTCACAAGTGCACGAGCTACTAGAATAATACAAATAAAGGTCTGAATAATGAAGCTGTCTGAAAGAAATACAAAGCTATGAATAAGTGGAAGGGGACTTCAGAACTGCAAACGCCATGCAGCTATACCTCAAGTCTCCTGCGAATAGCTGAATTCGAGCAAGTCTATTGTACGCCGCTAGGACCAACTCTGGTATCTGCACAAGAAGTGCAGAGTGTAGTATGAGTACAACCAACCCCATGTACTCAGTAAGTGCCGAGCCTAACCTCGACGAAGTAGTGACGAGGCTAAGACATGTCACTTACATTAACCTGTATGCAATAATAATAATAATAATAATAATAATAATAATAATAATAATAATAATAATAATAATAATAATAATAATAATAATAACAGGAATAGA